TGCCGCAAGATCCTCGGTCACAGGGCTCCCCTTGGAGCTGTGCCCCGGGCGCGTGCCCACCCGGGTGGTGGGGACACCTTGACTGTGGGGCTTCACCTCACTCCTCTCATCTCATCTCATCTCATCTCATCTCATCTCATCTCATCTCATCTCATATCATCTCATCTCATCTCATCTCATCTCATCTCATCTCAATCTCATCTCATCTCATCCCCTCCTGGGCAAAGCCCCTGTGGGAACAACCTGCTTTGGTCCAAGAGGCAGAGGGGAAGTTGCCCCCCTGACCCCCTCACCCTGACCCACAGCTCTTGGGCACATCCCCAGGCTCTGCTCACCCCAAAGGGACAGAGCCTGGGGCACCAGGTAGCAGAAGAAACCACAGCAAAGACAAACGGCCAAGGATCCTTCGAGGGTGTCCATGGTCTGGGCATCCTCTGATGGTGTCCATGTGTCCTGTGAGCTGGCACACAGTGGTGACTCCCACCTGGGTGCAGCCCAGTTTGGGAATGGGGAGGATTTAATCTGCTCCATGCTCTGGCATGGTGGTGCTGGGCGAGGGGATCCAGCTGGGGACGTCCATGGGTGAGCTGGGAGTGATGGATGGCTGGGTGACAGCGGGATGCTCTTGGCCACAGGTGACCACCCTCTTTTTGGGGACAATATGGGCTCATTCCCCACTGAGTCAACCCCTCAGGGTTGACCAGGGATGACCAGTTTACCAGGGATGAACCCCCAGCTCCTGCAGGGTTTGGCTCAGCTGGGGCAGCTCCTCATGTGCTGCTGTGCCAGGCTCCAGACCCTGTGGGTGGGCAAGTCCTGACCACAGGCTCGTTGCCCCTTCATCACCCCCCACCAGCTCTCCATCCACACACCCATTTCACATCCCATGTGCCTTGTGACTGCACGTGGCCATCCCTCGTGGATCAGGACTCAGATGCCTCCAGCACTGGATAATAAATCACCCCTCTTCCCACTAACAGGCTCTAGAAGTTAATTACGAACTCTTCCTCCTAATTTGGAGGCATGAAGAGCACACACCTCCCACTTCCCATCCCTTGGCCAGCAGGAGCCTGGCTGGAGGTGATAAATGTCACC